ACACTCCCAAACACACACTCCCAAAGACACACTCCCAAACACACACTCTCAAACACACACTCCCAAACACACACTCCCTAAAACACACTCCCAAAAACACACTCCCAACACACACTCCCAAACACACACTCCCAAACACACACTCCCAAACACACACTCCCAAACACACACTCCCAAAGACACACTCCCAAACACACACTCCCAAACACACACTCCCAAACACACACTCCCAAACACACACTCCCAAACACACACTCCCAAACACACACTCCCAAACACACACTCCCAAAGACACACTCCCAAAGACACACTCCCAAACACACACTCCCAAAGACACACTCCCAAACACACACTCTCAAACACACACTCCCAAACACACACTCCCTAAAACACACTCCCAAAAACACACTCCCAACACACACTCCCAAACACACACTCCCAAACACACACTCCCAAACACACACTCCCAAACACACACTCCCAAAGACACACTCCCAAACACACACTCCCAAACACACACTCCCAAACACACACTCCCAAAGACACACTCCCAAAGACACACTCCCAAAGACACACTCCCAAACACACACTCCCAAACACACACTCCCAAACACACACTCCCAAACACACACTCCCAAACACACACTCCCAAAGACACACTCCCAAAGACACACTCCCAAAGACACACTCCCAAACACACACTCCCTAAAACACACTCCCAAACACACACTCCCTAAAACACACTCCCAAACACACACTCCCGACCACACACTCTCCCAAACACACACTCCCAAACACACACTCCCTAAAACACACTCCCAAACACACACTCCCGACCACACACTCTCCCAAAGACACACTCCCAAAACACATTCCCAAACACACACTCCCAAACACACACTCTCCCAAACACACACTCCCAAACACACTCCCAAAGACACACTCCCAAAGACACACTCCCGACCACACACACTCCCGACCACACACACTCCCAAACACACACTCCCAAACACACACTCCCAAACACACACTCCCAAACACACACTCCCAAACACACACTCTCCCAAACACACACTCTCCCAAACACACACTCTCCTAAACACACACTCTCCCAAACACACACTCTCGACCACACTCTCCCAAACACACACTCCCAAACACACACTCCCAAACACACACTCTCCTGACCAGCTGACCTCGTCTGCCACGACTGCTCTGTTTACTTAGACATTGCTGGCCAGTAATGGCTGTTCCTCTCTCTCTCACACACACACACACACACACACTCCCAAACACACACACACACATACACACGCACACACACATACACACACACACTCCCAAAGACACACTCCCAAACACACACTCCCAAAGACACACTCCCAAAGACACACTCCCAAAGACACACTCCCAAAGACACACTCCCAAAGACACACTCCCAAAGACACACTCCCAAAGACACACTCCCAAAGACACACTCCCAAACACACACTCTCAAACACACACTCCCAAACACACACTCCCTAAAACACACTCCCAAAAACACACTCCCAACACACACTCCCAAACACACACTCCCAAACACACACTCCCAAACACACACTCCCTAAAACACACTCCCAAAAACACACTCCCAACACACACTCCCAAACACACACTCCCAAACACACACTCCCAAACACACACTCCCAAACACACACTCCCAAAGACACACTCCCAAACACACACTCCCAAACACACACTCCCAAACACACACTCCCAAACACACACTCCCAAACACACACTCCCAAACACACACTCCCAAAGACACACTCCCAAAGACACACTCCCAAACACACACTCCCAAACACACACTCCCAAAGACACACTCCCAAACACACACTCTCAAACACACACTCCCAAACACACACTCCCTAAAACACACTCCCAAAAACACACTCCCAACACACACTCCCAAACACACACTCCCAAACACACACTCCCAAACACACACTCCCAAATACACACTCCCAAAGACACACTCCCAAACACACACTCCCAAACACACACTCCCAAACACACACTCCCAAAGACACACTCCCAAAGACACACTCCCAAAGACACACTCCCAAACACACACTCCCAAACACACACTCCCAAACACACACTCCCAAACACACACTCCCAAACACACACTCCCAAAGACACACTCCCAAAGACACACTCCCAAAGACACACTCCCAAACACACACTCCCTAAAACACACTCCCAAACACACACTCCCTAAAACACACTCCCAAACACACACTCCCGACCACACACTCTCCCAAACACACACTCCCAAACACACACTCCCTAAAACACACTCCCAAACACACACTCCCGACCACACACTCTCCCAAAGACACACTCCCAAAACACATTCCCAAACACACACTCCCAAACACACACTCTCCCAAACACACACTCCCAAACACACTCCCAAAGACACACTCCCAAAGACACACTCCCGACCACACACACTCCCGACCACACACACTCCCAAACACACACTCCCAAACACACACTCCCAAACACACACTCCCAAACACACACTCCCAAACACACACTCTCCCAAACACACACTCTCCCAAACACACACTCTCCCAAACACACACTCTCGACCACACTCTCCCAAACACACACTCCCAAACACACACTCCCAAACACACACTCTCCTGACCAGCTGACCTCGTCTGCCACGACTGCTCTGTTTACTTAGACATTGCTGGCCAGTAATGGCTGTTCCTCTCTCTCTCACACACACACACACTCCCAAACACACACACACACATACACACGCACACACACATACACACGCACACACACACACACACACACTCCCAAACACACACTCCCAAACACACACTCCCAAACACACACTCCCAAAGACACTCTTTTTTGTTTGGGAGTGTGTCTTTGGGAGTGTGTCTTTGGGAGTCAAAGACACACTCCCAAAGACACACTCCCAAACACACACTCCCAAACACACACTCCCAAAGACACACTCCCAAAGACACACTCCCAAAGACACACTCCCAAAGACACACTCCCAAACACACACTCTCAAACACACACTCCCAAACACACACTCCCTAAAACACACTCCCAAAAATACACTCCCAACACACACTCCCAAACACACACTCCCAAACACACACTCCCAAACACACACTCCCAAACACACACTCCCAAACACACACTCCCAAACACACACTCCCAAAGACACACTCCCAAAGACACACTCCCAAAGACACACTCCCAAACACACACTCCCAAACACACTCTCCCTAAAACACACTCCCAAACACACACTCCCTAAAACACACTCCCAAACACACACTCCCGACCACACACTCTCCCAAACACACACTCCCAAACACACACTCCCTAAAACACACTCCCAAACACACACTCCCGACCACACACTCTCCCAAAGACACACTCCCAAAACACATTCCCAAACACACACTCCCAAACACACACTCCCAAACACACACTCCCAAACACACACTCCCAAACACACACTCCCAAACACACACTCCCAAACACACTCCCAAAGACACACTCCCAAAGACACACTCCCGACCACACACACTCCCGACCACACACACTCCCAAACACACACTCCCAAACGCACACTCCCAAACACACACTCCCAAACACACACTCCCAAACACACACTCTCCCAAACACACACTCTCCCAAACACACACTCTCCCAAACACACACTCTCCTAAACACACACTCTCCCAAACACACACTCTCGACCACACTCTCCCAAACACACACTCCCAAACACACACTCCCAAACACACACTCCCAAAGACACACTCCCAAACACACACTCCCAAACACGCACTTCCAAACACACACTCCCAAACACACACTCCCAAACACACACTCCCCAAAACACACTCCCAAAAACACACTCCCGACCACACAGTCTCCCAAACACACACTCCCTAAAACACACTCCCCAAAACACATTCCCAAACACACACTCCCAAACACACACTCCCAAACACACACTCCCAAACACACACTCCCAAACACACACTCCCAAACACACACTCCCAAACACACACTCCCAAAGACACACTCCCAAAGACACACTCCCGACCACACACACTTCCAAATACACACTCCCAAACACACACTCTCCCAACACACACTCCCCAAAACAAACTCCCAAACACACTCTCCCAAACACACACTCTCCCAAACACACACTCTCCCAAACACACACTCTCCCAAACACACACTCCCGACCACACTCTCCCAAACACATACTCCCAAACACACACTCCCAAACACACACTCCCAAACACACACACTCTCCCAAACACACACTCCCAAACACACACTCCCAAACACACACTCCCTAAAACACACTCCCTAAAACACACTCCCAAAGACACACTCCCAAAGACACTCCCAAACACACACTCCCAAACACACACTTCCAAAGACACACTCCCAAAGACACACTCCCAAAGACACACTCCCAAACACACACTCCCGACCACACACACTCCCAAACACACTCCCAAACACACACTCCCAAACACACACTCCCAAACACACACTCTCCCAACACACACTCTCCCAACACACACTCTCCCAACACACACTCTCCCAACACACACTCTCCCAACACACACTCTCCCAACACACACTCTCCCAACACACACTCCCAAAAACACACTCCCAAACACACACTCTCCCAAACACACACTCTCCCAAACACACACTCCCGACCACACTCTCCCAAACACACACTCCCAAACACACACTCCCAAACACACACTCCCGACCACACACTCTCCCAAACACACACTCCCAAAAACACACTCCCAAAAACACACTCCCAAAAACACACTGCCAAACACACACTCCCAAACACACACTCCCAAACACACACTCCCAAACACACACACTCCCAAACAAACACACTCTCAAAACACACTGCCAAACACACA